CCATCCCTTACAATACAGCATTAAGGCTCTCACCAATATCCATGCTGCTCAGCTTTCGCAATCCCTTTTTGCTAGAGTATTTGGGTGCAAGAAGCATTATGGGGCAGGGAAACAGAACAGACGCTGCCACTCACGGTGCTGGCACAGCACTGTCATCTTGCAGCGTTTCTTCATGTTTTCTTATCCCACTCTTTGCCTACAGCCTGCAAAGCTAGACAAGCTTTGCTGCCTTGGACATTGGTAAGACCATTCATATCACAGATCTTCCACCATCAAACCCCCTGCCCACCTACCAACAGCAACCTGGAATCAAAAGCTTCCAAAGTGCAGTCACCGTCTCTTTTTTCACTACTAAAGATACTCTTGTGTTGCTACCTTTCAACAGCAAGCTTGGCACACAGTGCCTGCAGCATCTGGCATACCTCACCTACTACAACTCAGTTTTCTCATGTGCTTTCCTCTATTATGAACTGCTGTGATAGTTGCTGTTGTTCCACAAATACAGAAGCCTGACTAAAACAGGCAAGAGAGCTCTGCTGAGCTGCTCAGTGGCCATGTTTATGAGAGTAAAAACTGATGTAGGAAAAAATAGCAAGTTATACCCAAGTGCAAGGACCACTGTGGGAATCCCCAGAAACCCACACTTTTTACTAGCAAAACCTAGAACTTGTGTTATCAAGAGCAGCTAAAAGCAGCAGTATGAATGCACTCTACCAAAGCGGCGCGTCAGCAAACACGTCAGTTCAATTCTTATCAGCAAAACTTTCTCGTGAACGTACATCCCTAGAAAGCAGTCACTACAAACATAGTTTTCCTGAATATCATTACTGAAGCAGAAGTAATGAAACGGCAGATAATATGACCCCAGGGTACAAATCAACTGCCTACCCTAATGCATACAGATGGAGCTCAACAGCTCTTCTGGTCTTCCACTACAGCAGAGTGAAACATGATCTCTGCAACACGTTCATTTTGGAACAAAACTAAAGCTTGCTAATGAGCGTTGTTTATTTTCAGTTCTTCAGAGAATGCTTTTAAATGCTGCAATCACACAAGATTCTGTGTCTTCATTTGATTTTATGAAGATAACTAGATGCAGTCATCCCTTCACAGAACCAAAACAGAAATCATACTAATCTCATACTCTTTCCAGATTCTACAGGAAAAGATTTCCCGAGAAAAATGTCTAAGTACTTTTTATAACAACCAACCATTAAACTTTATCTAACCCCACTAAAGACAACTTGCAGCAAAGCTATCATTGCCTTACGGCAGGATCAGGCTCCTCTTGCCGATATTCACAGCAGTTGAAGCAGTAGGTTCTACAGTACTCTAAAACTGACTTGGCAAATGTGCAAGAGAGAGGCAGGCACAGAACTTCTCTACTTCCATCCTCAGGAAAATAGCACATAATACCAAGAGTCTATTCCTAAAAAGAAGTTGTATTATGCATTCTGAGCTGCTCTTATTTACAGGAACAAGCCAACCCAACACGTAGCACCACACACACATCGTGGTTCCAAGAAAAGCAGTAATCATATTTAATATAATACTTAGACTAGGTAAGTACTTAGGTATAAGTACTAATACTTAGGTATAATACCTAAGGTATGATAAGGTATAATACTGAGGCAGGTAAGACTTCAACTTCAGCTGCTATTGCAGTATTAAGCATTCCTTTAAGGACAAAGCCTGGCTCCAAACACAACCTGGGTTGTGTGAAAAACACACAGGGAAAATGAGCAAGTTGTGCATTACACAGCAAACTGGAAACCTGTCTGGAACTGGCAATCTAGTATATGGCTTCTGAAAAAAAGAATGTCTTTAAGTGACTTATAATATACTTAGAAATAATAGAAAAATAATTATAAATATGTGTAAGACTTGCACTAAAAGTAGATTTCTTTAAAACTACATGCTTTTCTACTCATACTTTTAAAACCTTCTTTGGAAGTTCTTACTCTTAGTAGACTAAAGTAACTTATCTATGTCTTTGAGAAGTATCACCTGGACTTTACTATGTTAATCTAATGCCATCTCTTTCAGCTTTGATGGGATGTTACTTAAACTGCATTTAAATCTTGTCAGGTGCTAAAAAGTTCAGCACTTTTATCAGTTTTTTTAGAAGTCTGAAGATGGCTTTTTACAGAAGTTCAACACTTACACAAGGCACAGGAAACCGAAGTTTGGCACATCACCATGTCCTTTCCCACTGACTTCCAGTGATCCCTATTTCTATCAGATGCATTGTCCTACTAGTCCTCATACAAAATAAAGTCATCCTCTGCACAGCTTCTTCCAAAAAATTTCTGCGGGTCTGTTTTCAGGAAATCAACTCTTTAAGCTGTTTTTTTGTTTTGTTTTTATTAGACAAATTAAACACTATATTCAAATTATAAAAAGTGCTGGAGGCAGTGGTCAACAAGTACTTTTACGACCTCCAGCTACTCTTTTAAAAGCATTCTCCAGAAACAGCGAGGCAACCACATGAGTGGGAGGAAGGGAGCAGAGGGGGAGAAAAGGCGCCGGTTTTACAGCTTCAGTCAAAAACTGAACACGAAAAAGTCCAAATTCGGTGCAGCCTGACCTTGCATGAATAGCAAGGCACAAAATGAATGAAAACGCCAGCGCGACAGCTCTAAGAACAAACGTCCGAAGTAACTAACGGTTAAGGACGACGCATGCTAGACTCCCCTATTCAAAACCACTGACTGAAGAAGCAACGGAGCCGAAAAGACAACTAAAACACACCTCAACAGCGTGACTCAGGGCGCGAGCCGCCAAGTACGGTTTCACGAGCCGTCCAGCGCGACGCAGACGACGGAGAGCAGAGGGAAACCAAA